TCTAACACAAAAAGGACTTTGGTGTTGGATTTTAGGTTAGACATTTCTAACACAAAAAGGGCTTTGGTGTTAGGTTTTAGGTTAGACATTTCTAACACCAAAAGGACTTTGGTGTTAGGCTTTAGGTTAGACATTTCTAACACCAAAAGGGCTTTGGTGTTAGGCTTTAGGTTAGACATTTCTAACACCAAAAGGACTTTGGTGTTAGGTTTTAGGTTAGACATTTCTAACACAAAAAGGTCCAGCCCAGGGCAGGGGGGGAGTCCCCATCCCTGGGGGCATTTAAAGGCCTTGTGGATGTGGCACTTGGGGACATGGGGCAGTGCTGGGGAATGGCTGGACTCGGTCTCTGGGGATTCTGTGATTCTCAGGCTGGTTCTCTGGGCAGGGAAAGCCTCATTTTCTGTTCCTGCGCTGGGAAAGCCGGAGCTGCTGCCCTGGTCTGGGAGCAGCTGGGCAGGGGGGAGGCAGGTGCAGCACCAAACCCTCCTGGCAGGTTCAGGACAGGATTCCTCCCCTGCAGCGAGCAGGCAGAGCCGGGGAGAGCCGGGGAGAGCCGGGGAGAGCCGGGAATAGCCGGGAATAGCCGGGAATAGCCGGGAATAGCCGTGTCTGGCAGGGGAGGTCACCGGGAGGCTGCAGCAGACGGGGAATCAATCTCATGAATCGTGTTTTGATGCGCATTGGGTTTGGCACAGAGCAGCACCCGCCCCCTTCTCACCTGCCTCCCCATCCCATCCTCCCCAGGCTCCCGTTCCCAGCCCCAGCCGCTCTTGCTGGGAAGCAGGGAAGGAAATCTGTGTGCTGCACACGCATAAATAATACAGCTGAAATCAGACTGGGTTAAAAATAGATATCCACACTAATAAATATTTTACCTACTGTCTTTAGGCTGCAGAGCTCCCCCGCCTGAAGTGTTAAAACAAACCTCGTTGTTGGCCCCTGGATGGCCGCAGCAGCCCCGGCGTGGCTGTGCAGACCCTGCTGCCCCGTGGTCACCTGCACACAAACACCTGCCCCCAAAGCCTCAGGAAAGGTGGCCTGGTGGCCTTTTGGCTCCCAGAACAGAGCTTTGCATCCAACTGACTCATCTGGTGACCTGTGAGTTTAACTAATGAAATTGGGAGATAGGATCTCTCATGATATTTATGAGTAACATTCTTCTTTCCGTGTCTTTATTTCTTCCTGCCCAAAAGTGGAATTAGAATTAGATGGCTGAATAAGGCAAAACAAAGGACACTGACAGAGCCTGAGATAGGAGGATTTTTCATTAAAAAGAGTGACAGGTGGGAGAATGTGCCCTAGTGTGTTTCTGGAAGATAATCCTTCATTTTGGGCTTAGGGCATCACTCACTGGGCCTCACCTGACGTGATGTTTCCCCTCCCTGGATTCCCTGGGAACAAGGAGGTAATTTATTCTGTTATTCTGTCCGGAACCTGGGGCTGCAGGGTTGATTTTGTGTGGAAAGGGGGCTCCTGAGGGCAGTGCTGGCACCACCTCTGCCCTGGCAGGGAGCTTTGGCCGCAGGGAATCCCGGCCAGCAGTGCTGGGAAAGGGGCAATAAACAGGAGAGGGTGAATCCCACGGGAGCTGTGGGCTGGAGAGGCCAGCCTGGGATCCTTGGAAGTGTTTCTGTGCACGGTTCCCACCCTGCAGCCAAGGCACCAAGGAGCTGAGCGCTCCCTGGGCCTGGAGCCTGGCTGGGTGAGCCTGGAGCGGTGCTGGGAGGGCTGGAGGCACTGGGAGCACCTCGGGGACACCGGGAGCACCTTGGGGACACCGGGAGCACCTCGGGGACACCGGGAGCACCTCAGAACCCCCCCTGAAGGGACAGCCAGGACGTGGTGAGGGCACACACGGCTCCACGGCCGGCTGGGAATGGGCAGGGCAGTGCCAGATGTGCTGTGCCCGCTGCCAGCTGTGCCCTTCAGGGGATTTCTGGTGGTGCCAGGCCGGGCACACGCTGCCCAGAGCTCTGGCAGCCGGGATTAGGCTCCATCTGTGCAGCCCCACGGGCTCCAGGGAGATTTTCAGGTGCAGTGTTGGGATTGTTTCTTCTGACCCCGCCGTGGCAGGAGGTTGCAAATAAAGATCTTTAATGTCACTTCCAACCCAAAGCGTTGCAGAATTCCATAATCCTCTGGTTTGGTGCGGCTGCTGTTGAGGAATTCATTAAAGGTCAGCAGAAACACAGCCACGGGCGTTTTCTGCACTTCATTCTGATAACAATCATGCAGTTATGATCAGCCATCAGCACAAAGCACCGCCAGGCAATGAATCAGCTCCTCAGGAAAGGGAGGGAGCAAAAGCAAACGCTGCCCACCCCAAGAAACATCACTGCCCATCCCCAAATCTATTGCAAAGAAAGGTCTCTGCATTGAAAATATTTCATGAGTGTAAAGACATGGAAAGTATGAACGGTTCTGTAAATCAAATTACACGTGTATTCCTTCATTTCTACCTTGAAATAGCTTTTACACGTTCAGGCATTACAAACATGAACGTGGTGGGGCTCGATTAGTGCCAGGAGCAAACACTGAGGAACTTCCTTGGCAGCAATATTTGATATTTGTTAACCTTCAGGTAACACAAGGAGGATCCGTGCCTGAAACACTTCCGCTGCTCTTCCTCACGTGTGAACACGAACCAGACACAGCTGCTGGGACCTGTCCCCCTTGCACCGTTCTCCTGCTCTTTTTCCCCACAGTAAATAACCACACAACACAAAGCTCAAGAACAGGAATGGCTGGGCTGGTGCCTGACACACCAGGACACACCAGGACACACCAGAACACACCAGGACACACCAGTGACACACCAGGACACACCAGGACACACCAGGACACACCAGTAACACACCAGGACACACCAGGACACACCAGTAACACACCAGTAACACACCAGTGTGAGCCAGCAGCTCAGCACCAGACATTGATTTTCAGCTTTATTCCAGGTGATCAGCTCTGCAAGTGCAGAGTGTGCAGTTGCTCCAGGGACAGGGAAATGGCCTCGAGCTGTGCCACACGAGGACAGCAGCAGGAATTTCCCCATGGAAAAGATGCTCAGGCCTTGGCAGGGGCTGCCCGGGGAGGGCTGCAGTGCCCATCCCTGGAGCTGTCCCAGGAAGGGCTGGAGGTGGCACTCAGGGCTGTGGGCTGGGGACAGGGTGGGGATGGGGCACAGCTGGGATTCCCTGGGCTGGGAGGGCTTTTCCAAG